CTGGAATAATCACTCGCAACCAGGTCAACTTAGAAACGCTAGTTTGTTTAAAAATTAGACTTACTGTACATGACTTGTAATATACGATAATTTGTATTTGTAAAGAGATGGTCTATATTTTGTAATTATTGTACCGTATTTGAACTGCAGCAATATCCATGGGTCCTAATAATTGTAGTTCCCCACCCAAATTTAGAAATTATTGGTCTTTTTACTCGGACTAAACAGAAGTAGAAGAAATTGAGCCAATTCTCATTTATTCAGTGAAAATCTTTTGGGGGTAAAATTTTAAGTTTAAAAGAACTTGGCACTACAGAGATTTTTCTAAAATATTTTGAGTCACTATGAATCTGTCTTTACACAAGATATACCTGATGACTCTTTGCAGTCTTTTCCCTGAGCAAGAGCCCGATGATTTGATAGTGAACCTTTTGCTCCAACATGGGTTGCGACCGTCTTTTGTTTTCTTTTAACCCTCTCCCCCGTGAGCTCCTCAGACTAGGTCAAGCTGCTTCCTCTGACCCTGTGGCATTCACAGTGGTGGGTCTTCTCACCTGCCCCACAGGACATTTTTGCAGGTGAATGAAGTCCCTCTGCTCCGGTCCCCCCGGGATATGGTGTCTTGCAGTGCTGGGGGGAGGGGATGGCGAGACAAAGTGAGGCTGTCCTCTGTGATAGGAGGTCAGAGTCTGGACAAATTGTATTGTTGCCTTTTTACAAAACGTTGCTGTGCTGTGTTCTCTCTGAGGGCTTTTATATGCAACCGAATGAGGGCTGCTGTTTTCACTAGAATGCACTCCCACTCCGATTGTACCTCCTGAGGAAAACCCACTTTGGGATCATTAGACCCATCAAGGCTTCCTTTTCTGATCACGGGATTATGCCGACTTTGTCAAGTTACCTTGGCAGGGATTCTCTGCAGTCAAAAAACAGGTAGCAGTTTTTGGTTCACAATTTTAAAATATTACATAGACAACCTGTTAATGTTGGATTTTCTTCTTTTGGGGTAAATAACAATACTTTGTTATGAAGACCTTACAAACCTCCTAAGACATTCTTACTCCAGATCCAGGCAAAAACTCTTCAAGGTTTGTAAATGACTATTTCCTGATAAATTCTTTTTTATTAAAATGTAAAATGTTCTTCAGAATAAAATTGTGTAATAATTTTATTGTATTTGGGAGCTCTCCTTGCAAGAGCTGGCGTTTGCCAGTGAGAGCTTCGGAAGGGGCGGGCACCCGTGAGGGCAGTTCTGTAATTGTGTACATTTTTTTCTTACTCTCGTCGCTCCTTCAATGCCTGTGGTAACTTAATACCAGCTGCAGAGAGCACTGTTTCTCCTAAAGGGCTAAACCACTGTTACCATCACCTCGAACTGTTTCTTTTGGTTACTGGTCTTACTGTGTGGCTTAAATCACCAGTCCAACATTGCCTACCAGGACTGACTTTTCTGGTATAGGCAATGCAGTTTTCCAGTGAGTACTTAGAAACGGGCATTTTTATAGGCTGCACCACTCCTAATATCTGTCTGCTTTAAGCCTGGTTCAACCTCTCACCTAACATTAAATTTTTCTTTGTAAGAAAAATTTGAAGTTGTAGAGCATGGTTCTTTTCTTTGTTTTAGGAAAGTTTTATGATTAAATGTCTTTGCTTTTGGTTCCCCTTCCACCCCCTAAAAGCTGTCACTTTGTCGTGTCCCCAGGAATAGTACGTTGAATTCCTTTCATCTGTGTTTTATATAATATCACAAAATGGAAATGGCAGCTCTGATTTAACTATCAATGAGCTAAAACCACGTTAACAAGCGTCTCCGTGATTTCCATCCAGACTTGGCCGGGCGGTGCTTCCCAGCTCTGTTCCAGGATGTCTCAGAGCCCAGAGCCCGGAAGGGTGGGTCGTGAAGGCCCCTGGAGCATCTCAGTGCACGGAGGGGGCCTGACCTGCTGGACAAGAGACCACTTTATTGTTGACCCCACGCAGGTGAAATAAACCAGGGCAGTTTACTTCATGTTGTTTTATAGGTTACACTCTGGCCATAAGTCTTTGCCAATTGTCTGCTTTTTTACAAAGGTTTTTATTGTTACGATGGGCAGTAGTTTGTTCTAAAAAATGGTTAGTGATAGAGCTACCATCACGCACAGCTCCAGCTCCTTTATAGACGATCCCAGTTCAAAACAGACTCCGGCTATGCTTTCATTTGTTGAAAAGTTTGTATTTCTCTAAAATGATATTCCTAGTCGTCTACTGGGAACTCTGGAGGGAAGGCAGGGATGAGGAGCAGACCTGGGGCCCTTGCTTCCAACCTGGGAACAAGCTGAGCGTGGTCTTGAGGACGGTGACAAGAGACGAAGTGAGAGGACCGCCAGGGTCTCAACACAGAGCCAGTGGAGAGGTGGTTTTTCCCCCCTGGTTTTTAAGAGAAATGAATCTAGATATTAGATCTGACGTTAAGTTGATTAGTGGAAAAGCGAAAGGACCTTTGGGCGGAGGAACATGGTTTGGCTGGAGACAAGAATCGATTTGAATTTATGGAAATGATGATCCTTCTGGCTGCACTGGAAACAGAAAGGACGTAGCTTCCTGGTCACACTGCAGGCAGGCTGCTCCTGTACCTGCGTGTGGTCCCTTGTTCTGTCGGGAAGACTGTCTGCTGATACACTGGCCCAAACACAGGCTTCCTCAAAGGGGTCAGTGCTCCTCAGAGCCTGATCACTGGGCACAAACATAGCTGTTGTGCTTTTTCACCATTTTTTGTCACGTACATTCTTTCATTTTTTAGGTACTGCAGGCTCTTACTCGGGTTTCACGGACAGTCTGCCCAGTTCCTTGAGAGGCTGGGTGCTGGCCAGGCGGGCCTCTGCGGCAGCCTGACTGCGGCTCCTCGCCCCACCTCCCGTTGGCACTTCCTCTCCCTCTGGCTTCCTCAGACGACAGCCCCCTTTCTGAGGTGCAGGGGTCCCTCATGGCAGTGGAACTTGGAGACAGCCCAGTGGTTGTAACGTGGGCTCACTCTGCCCAGACAGCCACAGCACTCAGCCAACAGCAGTTTTCTACTCTGACTTCAGTGGGTTTTGGACATGTGACACCTACCATCTTCCCTTTTGAAATGTATTTCTGTGTGCCTAAATTGTGCAATGGCAGAAACAAGGCCCTGTAAGCAAGAATGGGGAAGGGGCCGGGATAGCATCAAGCTGTCCAGGGACATGTTATTTTGCTTAACTTATAATACAGCCAAGGTAGCAAACGAGCCACTGTCTCAGAGACGAGACCACCACAGAACACAGGGATGACAGAACTGAATGGCCGTGTCACCTACCCTACCTGAACCAGAGGTCAGTCACAGTCAGTCACCTGCCCCCCCAACACCCCCCCACCCCTAACTTGTTAATTCTTGGCCCTCAGAGCAGTGGGCTGGCACCTGTACTCCTGCTGTTCCTTTGCCCCTGCAGGCGGCTCCAAGACCCAGAGGATGGCGGCCGTGGACCACGGTGGTGGGACAGGTGAGCAACCTCTCTAGGAGAAATAAATCTCTTGGCAGATCCAGAATTTTCCTTCTTGACCCTCCCTTGGAACCGAAAATAAAGCAGGATACAGGTAAGATTTAAAGGAAGGAGAGGTGATGGTTTTCTTTGTCCTGCCTTTCTGGAAAGTCTTTCCCAAAAACATACATTACGGCTGTTGGGCCTCCAAGCCACCTCAGTCCACTCTGATCCTGGGAGAAGCCTGGGTTGTCCCATTTCTCTCCCCCCCCTCATTCTGAGCCCAGCAGGGCAGATTTCTACATAGTAATTCTTCTGTTCCCTGCCACAGGCCGTAGACAGTGGCTTTGAATAACTTTTAAAAAATCAATCCAAAATGCATTTAGTTTTTATTACCTTGTAAGAATCATCCGGATAAGGTATCTCAGTTGAAAAATAAATTATTGGATTACATTATTGGATTATAAGAAATTTAAAGATCAAAGAACTGTTTTAAATGCTACTTGTATCTCTCTCTGGTTTTCTTCCTACCACCCCAAAGTCAAATCTTTGACAATTTACTTTTCTCTCTCAATTGCATTTTTACAGGGTCAAGCAGCACAGTTTTACTTAACTGCGTTTTCAGTCAGTCCCAGCTCATCCTGGTCTGTTCCCATGGACATGTAGAGAATCAGAATGGGCCAGCCGTGCCCAGTGCTGCGTCGTTCCCCAGGCTCGGGAAGTGTCTTCTTGGGCCAGCTGCTGCGGCGTGGAGAGGTGGCGTGGTATGTGGGGTTTGCTTTTAAAATGCAAAATCGTGAAACCTGTAGTGGTGAGGAGTCTTTGCAGATGCTTCCCTCCTTGAACAAGGTCCAGAAATCCTCTTGTCAGGCTGATTGTGTTTCGTTAGAACCAGAGCCTCAGACAGGTGGGCCACAGGCCTCTCAGAGCACCAGCTCCTGCCTCACTCTGGGAGTGAGATCAGGAAGTGGAGGAGAGAGGAGAGGCCTGTGTCCGTCCCCCACCCTCTGAACAGGGATGCTGGAGGCTTAGGCACAAGTCCTGGCTGCGTTCCCTAACTACGGCATGACTCCTGGTCCCAGCTGCAGCCTGAGCTGGAGGGTGCCCCTTGGAGAACTCAGCACCCAGCCTCTGTGCATAGCACCCAGCTCTTTGAGGGGCTTGCTTTCAGAGGGAGGCCTGGGAGAAGAACCCCTTTCCTAAGTCCAGCCAGGAATGAGGAAGGCAGCCGGCCCCTGGGTTGGAAAGCGCCGTGGTAGAAGGGAACCATCCTCCACTGGCCTCCCCTTCCCTTCGCTGTTCTGCGCCTGGAGGCAGGGAGGAGGCCCCCCGCCAGGATGCTGGCCTTCCCCAAAGGGCCCACAGGAAAATGCTGGGAAGAGGAACGGGATTCGCCCTGGTTGGCTCAGCTCAGGGTGAGCGTTGGCCCATGGACCAAAGGGTCTTGGGTTTGATTTCCAGTCAAGGACACGTACTGGGTTACGTGCAGGAGGCAATAGATCTATGTTTCTCTCTCCTCTCCTTCTACTCTCTAAAAATCAATGGGGAGACAAATATCCTTGGTTGAGGATTAACTAAAATAAAAAGGAACCTGATTCACCGACCAGTGAGGTCTCGCTTCTTAAAAATTATCCAGTTCTCTGCCATTGAATCTTAACATTCTAGATAGTTTCAGGAAAGAGCATTTGGCACAACGGCTGTGCTGGCCCTCTTGGCTAGTCAGGGGGCTTCTCAGACAGCGACTGCCTCAACGCTGAGTGGCCAGGCTCCCAGGTTTGTACACAGGGACATCCTTGTCGCATAGTGCAGGCCGCCCCCTGATAATGTCAGCTGCTTTCTCTGCGATCATGATCGTGGGGGCGTTCAGGTTGCCACTGACCACACTGGGCATGATCGACGCATCGACCACCCTGAGGCCTTCCACCCCAATCACCCTGGTCTGCAGATCCACCACGGCAGTGGGATCGGAGGGCTGGCCCATCTTGCAGGTGCACGAGGGGTGGTAGGCGCTGTCCGCTTTCGCCCGCACAAAAGCGTCTATCTCTTTATCTGACTGCACGTGGCTTCCTGGCTGGAGCTCTTCTCCCCGGAATGGTGCCAGGGCTTCCTGTGCAAAAATTTCTCTGGTCAGCTTCACACATCTGCGGAAGTCACTGATATCAGTTTCTGTTGAGGAGAAGAAACGGGTGAGACTCCTCTTACCACTCCGGCCTTGCTGCAAGATTCTAGGCATGGAGAGACTCAGTAAGCTGCTCAAGGGGAGGCAGTTCAGGACACGGAGGTCCAAGCCACTTGTCATCTACCCATAGATGGTTACACTGCAACCAGCAGAGTCTCATGAAGCCCAAACAGAGTGCATCCTAGACGGACACAGCTTGCCTCAGAGGCCCCAGGTTTAAATTGGGGATCTGAATTCTTATCTGTAAATTAAGAATAAGAATACATGCCTTGCCTCTTCCACCATGTGGCTATGAGGGCCCCACAGTTTTTACTGAGCAAAACCTGCCCTATGGGGAGTGCTCATTTTTGCTGCAGCAAAGAGGCAGGCCCAGGAATATAAAGGGTGCTCTCAGTAACAGCAAGAAAAATGCTCTGTGTACATAGTCCAGTCGCCTTAAACCTCCTGGTAGACAGTTTTGAAAGCTGCAAATCTCTCCTGTAAAATGAAGCCCAGGATTATTTTAGGTGACCTGGTGTACCACAGAGCAGCATACGCAAGTTTACAGCCTAGAGTGATAGGGAGGACAGTGATTTGTGTCTCAGAAAATGTGGTTCAGGGACAAATATGAACCCCAAAAAGGCAGTATTCAGTCAATGAACAGCAAGCCCAGACCTGGGGCATACAAAGGCGGCTGGTGAATTACCTGTTGACAAGTAGTTGGGCTGCAGCACAGGGTGGTCCTGGGGGTTGGCACTCCTCAGTTTTAGCCAGCCCACACTCGTGCCCCGCATGGTCCCCACATGAACCTAGGTGAATCCAGAGGGAGCAGTCACTTCCATCAGTCCCCCAGCTCAGTTTAGAGAGGTCCCTGGTTTTCTGTGAGTGGGCCTCTATATCCAAAGTCAATTAAAAGCAGGTACACTTTCCCATTTGCCTGCATCTTACCCGCCGCCACCTCGATGAATCCCTCCTGCCTCTATACCTGACTGTCCAAACCTTTAAGGAGCTGGCAGTCCCTGGGCAGAGCTGGTGCCATGGGTCCATTTCCAGTGTTCAGTACCTAGAGTATCTGCCCTGAGCTGGGTGCAAGCCTCACCTTTCCATGCACCGGGCAGACTGCCTGTCCCCACTCGGATGTACTGAGCGCTGCAGGGCACAGGCTTCTGCGTTCCCCACCCTGAGGGCCCTGCTGCAGTGGGGAAGATGAGACTGCTTACCTGGTAAGCCTCCTGCTGGGTGGGGACACGCCCATGGTCAATCACTTGGGATGGCAGGAAGTGGAACTGTATGTCTGGGTGGGGGACTCCAGGCTGGCTCCGGATGAACCCACCTGTTTCCAGGTGTGCCGTGGCTCCATCCCCTGGGTGTTGGAAGAGGTGGAAGTCGGGCCTGGCAGGTGGGCTGGCCTCAGGACCCAGCGCTCCCACCTGTCCTTCCTCTTTCCCCCAGGCGGGCCTGCCCAGCACCACCGCTTGCAATTTCAGCTACCTGTCGAGAGTCTTCAGCTTTGCCTCTCCCCCGACTACCCCCTGAGAATAGACTGTGAGGCTGATGTCCCACGGGCAGCCTAACCTGGCCCGGCTCGTACTGCTCGGCACTGCGCCCAGATCACTGCCCTCAGTGCCTCCTGCAGCCCACTCTGGGCACACAGCCAGCTCGTGATCAAGCCCTCTCAGCTGCAGCCTCCCACCAGCTTCCTCCTCCCTGTGTTGTAACCTCCCTGGCCCAACTAATGAGAGGCCCAGTCCAGGAGCCTGTGTACATATTCTTCCTGCCTTTTAGATCCCTGCCACTATGCTGTAATTTAATTAACAACCAGGTCTGCCTTTCACAATACTTAAAATTTAGCATGTTTACCTGGTTAGGGTCCCCATTAAAGTGAAAACTGCCCAAGGATACCTCCCTTTCTGGGACTTCTCACCCTCTAGCACTCAAGCGCATAGTAGCTGTGCAAGAAATACATGCTGAATGAATGAGCAGGATTTCTAAGCACCATTTCCTGGCACAACTCGGTATGGAGACTCAGCATTTTCCGTTTGTTTTCTAACTAAGAAATGGATGCTGATTCTATAGTCCAGCACCAAGTGTCTTTTCTGTGCCTTTTTTTCTGGCTCCTTGGACACCTGAGGGTGTCCAGGAAAAGGCCATCCCCATCCATCTGCAGGAAAGAGCAGCACCTAGCCCTCGAGGAGTCTCACCGGGTCAAGCCCTGTGCTATCAAGTCTGGTCCTCACACCAGCCCATCAGGCAGGGACTGTGTACCCCATTTTGCCCAGAGCTCAGCTTCAAACCAGCAATCTGGGGCCAGAGCCCTTGCTCAGCACCTCAGGATGCCCACAGACCATCTCTACCAAGGTCATGGAGGAGATACCCACCTGTGAATTTCCAGAGCCACTCCAGACCAATCTGGACCTGCCTCAAGGGCCGTTGCGCTGCATAGAGGGTGATGGGTTGGGTGCATGCCTGCTGGATGTATATCTCTAGGTGGTCTTGCAGGTTCTGGCCAACTCCTGAAATGGAGGGAGTAGTGAGGAAAAGTGGGTACCAAGGGGGGCTTAGCTGACTTCTCAACATCCCCTGGTTTTGAAAATTTCTCCCCTATCCACTTAGTTGCCAGGCCAGCTCCTGCTTAGTCCCCAGGTCACAGCTTGGAGGTCACCTCCCAGTGACACCATTCTGCACTCCCCACCAACTGCCCTTGTTACTCCCGGTGAAGCACCTGTAACCATCCAGTTGCCTTCCTGCCAACCTGTACCCTCCATGAGAGCAGGGCCCACGTGTGCAGCAGGTATTGCTCAGTAAGCTGTCATTGAAAGGCTGACAGCCCCACCCTCACCCCTGGCTGGGGGAAGGAGGGAAGCAGGCCCCATCATGCTGTGCAGACCCTGCATGAGCTCATCCAACCTCAAGGGGATGCTGGGCAAGCAGGTCACTGTCAGTTCTAAGGAGCACCGACTCCTGTCCGCTACTCCCCATGCTGATAAAATATAATAAACCATTTTACTTGGCAGAGACCCTCCAGGAGCAATGGAGAAGGGAGCTCACCTGGAAGGTGGCACACCACGGGGATGCCCAGCTTCTTGAGGTCATCTGCATTGCCGACGCCGGAGAGCATGAGCAGCTGCGGGGAGTTGATGGCACCTCCGCTCAGAATCACCTCCTGGCTGGCATAAGCCTGGAAGAGGCAGAGGGGGAAGCAGGTCACTCCTCCCTTCCAAAAAGGCAGACAGAACCCTGAGAACGTGGCCTTGGGGTGATGTACCCAAGTGGGAAGAGGGTGTTTGGACTGCTATGTGAAAGCTACCCATGTTCAGCTCTGGCATGCAATCATAAATAAATTAGGTTTCATACTGTGAAATATTCTGTAGTGGCCACGACAGCTACGATGGTCTTAAAAACAGGACTGGGGAACTTAAGTGAGAAACCACACTCAGAAGAGAGGTTTCAATAAAGCAAGTAGTGACCAGATCTTCACATGGGATGCAGAACAATCCTGACACACTGCTAAGTGGAAAACGGCACAGTGCAGAAATGCAGAGTATGGTCACAGTTATGGTTTTTTAAACCTCTAATAAAACCTAGCAACTTCTGAAAAGGTATGGAAAGTACTGGGGAACAGCTCGGAGGTGGGGAGCAACAGAGTCTCATAGCGGACTTATTCCAGTGCACAACAGGTTCTGTGCAGGTGCCTAGACTGGGGGTTTCCTCACCTCTGGCAGGCCACCACCTGCTTGCTCATCAGTGCCGATGGAGACAAGAGCATGACTACTGTCCCCTGCCGCCCCCCCCCC